ATAAAAGTAAACCAAATGATGTTTCAGAGACAGTAAGAGATAGGGTGAGAGCAAAAGGGGAAAGGACAAAGCTATATTGACAGGTGAGGTCTAACTGGAATCGCCATGCAGTCAATGGTTAGTTTTCAATCTTACCATAGTGTACAGTCATGTGGATGGCTTGTTAAAACATGCATGGCTGGGCCCAACCCCCAGAGTTTCTGATTCAGTAGGTCTGAAGTGGGGCTGAGAATTTCCATTTCTTTGTGTTTGTTTTTTTTTTTTTTAAAAAGATGGGGTCTCACTCTGTCGCCCAAGCTTAAGTGTAGTAGCATAATCACAGCCTTGAACTCCTGGCCTCAAGCGATCCTCCTGCCTCAGCCTCCCAAAGTGCTGGGATTTCAGGCGGGAGCCACCATGCCTGGCCAGAATTTGTATTTCTAATAACTTCCCTGGTAGTGCTGATGTGGTCCCCTGAGACCACACATTGAGAATTACTGTCCAGTCAGATTTTCGTGGGTTCCCTGACCTGTTGAGGCTGAAGATGCTATTGCTAGAGCTCTAGAGGGAGAAGGAATATACAGGGACAATCCACCACTCAACAGCAAAACTCTTAGGATCAAGAAAGAAAAAGAGAAGAGGAAGAGAAGGGGGAGAAAAGGAGAGGCAGAGAGATGGATACTCTCTTTTCAACATGCCCTCCAAACTATTGATCCGTCTGGGTAACAGTCACTTAACCCTTAAATACAGTTTTACCACATAGCCACAAAGAAAAAGCTTTTAATAAAATTGACCCTTATGTACTTGAGGCTTTCCCTTAAGGAGCACAATATCATTCCAAGGAGAAAGGGGAGATAAAATGCTTTCTGTCCTAGAGCTTCCTCCCCCACCCAAGTCAAATGAAGGTGTCCTTGTTCATCACTTCTGCCAATAAAAAGAAAAGCAAACCAGCAAACAAGTTCCTAGTGCCTTTAGGATCTGCAGAGATTATGCAATGAGGATTCTTTTTAGTTCTTATTAAACTACTTATATGCCTACACTCCCCCACCTCTTGGGGAGGGGGGAAGGTATACATCTGTTAATTCCTGTGTTGAAAGCACTAATCCTTGTTCTTGCTTTCTTAGCTCAAAATGCCCTAGCATCACTCCCATGTCCCCAGCCTCCCTGGCTGGATTTTGCCCCCATTCCTAAGTAAAATAGCACTTACTGTGATACAAACCGGAAGAACAGTTTGGTATATGACTATTTCTGGTTTCATTAGCAATTTTGTATTTTTGTTATTATGCTTTCACTTGGTTACAACCAAAGGCATAATATGCAAGTTGCCACTATTTTAGAAAATTAATTGCAGTTTTCTGTTACAATATTGTGCCTTGTTCCAATTAGAAAATGAAAGGCAAGAGGGAACACAGGCAGTGTAGTGTTTTGAGAATTCAGCAAAACTTCAACTCAGCAGTCTCTAAAAGCCTAACTTAAAAACAAAACAAAAATTAACAAAAAGCCCTCACTGGCTCAAGTAAAAAAGAGTCAGACAGAAAATAAGACTGAGTCATAGAGAGTGGCACATCCAGTCTGGAGGAATCTCAAATGGACAGAGGGAAGGGAGAGATAAAATCTGTGCCCCGTCTCCTTTTTCCTGATTTGCTAATCATTAAAACTGGGAGGTCTACGGACTTAAAGCAGAGAAAGGAAAGAGCAAAAGGACCCTAGATCCTAGAAATAAGGACAAAATTTAAAATGACTCAACAAGGGGAAGAAAAGACTCCAGCACATATATTATAGATATTCAAGGGAGAAACCTGGAAAGCAGCAACAGCTGAGAAAAGATGGGAGGTGAAGCACAGACAGCCAAAAAGCTGAGTTTGGTAGGAAATAGGACACAAACACCACTGCCTGCAACAAAATTAGCAAAGAATCAAAGCACCACACATAAAAGCACAATGGCAAGTAAATCTTAGACTGCCTCGCTGATGAGGCTGAGGACAGAAACCTAAAATGAAGGAAAGTAGACATTAAGAAGAGCAGTTCTCAAACTCAAGTGTGTGTCACAATCATCTGGAAAGCTGGTTTTAAAAATACAGATCCTGGGTTTCTCTGACTCCCATTCTTATTTGGATTTTAGGTCTCAAGTGGGTCTGTATTTTAACAAAGACCCCATGTAGTTCTAACACAGATTGTCCAAGAACCATGGTTTGAGAAGCACTGATCCAGAGATCTAAAGAACTGCTTAGAGTAAGTGTGCCAAGGCTAAGAGCAATTAGCAATTCATTTTCAGAAGAGTTTTCACATGGGACTGTGTAAGAGATCATCTCTTGGGGAGAGATGTCACTTAGTGGGAATTAAAATAAATCAACGCTCTGGAGGATGTTCTCCTGGGAATGTCTGTTGGCCCAACAAGTTCACCTCTCTGAACATTACCACAGTGAATTCCAAGAGGTAACAACATAGAGAAGGGGAATTCTGGGTAGAGAAGCTCCAGGACAATCCCATGACCCACAAAAGCATTCCTTAAAGGCCAGAGCCTGGCATTAAGATGGAGACACCTATCTATACTTACCTGTGCAAAGAGGGAGATGCTCTACTGTCCCATTAAACCCTCGTATGGTGTTCTCAGACAAAATTTCACTTCTTGCCTTAAATAGTGAAACAGCACAACTATTCAAAAAAGCTGGTGTCTTCCCTTCCACCAATGTCTGAATTCAGGGACATATGCTGAGTGATTTGGTACCTTTGGACGTAAGAGGCTACGAAGACCTGGAAAACCAGAAACCTCTCTGTAGCATGGGGTTAAAGTCAGACTGGATGCCTTGATCCTCTCTCTTGGTTGAGAGGAACACTTCCCAAATGGAAACTTTCCAGTTACTTCAGCTCCCTCTCCTAGTGGTAGATGGTACCTATTGAGAATCAAAAAAGGCTTACTGGGAGGCCTCAGAAATAGCTCTTGTCACCAGGCAGTGGCTGGCTAGTTGCCTTGAGCCCCTTAGCAGGAGAGCCACAGACTAACTGGATTACTACCTCGCCTCAGCAGAGTTCTCCAAATGCATTCCTTGAGCTGCCAGCCCCACATGTGACAACAGGACCCCATCATCCTGGCTTCCACTTTGAAGCTGTTTGCCCTCAGCCAGATGTTTCTGGCTACTTACAGAAAAGAAGAGCCTTGCTAGGATGGAAGACTGGCAGGCTATGCTCAGGAGTTGGGCAAAAGCCCTGGATACAGAAGAGGCTGGAGATGTCCATTAGAGTTACCGAAATCAGATTCTCTCTCTTAATGATTATAAATAATCATTCCACAATTAGGCAGGAAGGGGCAGCTGTTAGGGCAAGGATTCTAGGTGGTGAAAAGCAGAGACCAGGGGCTTTTACCAGTCCAGTCTGCTTAAGATAAGCAAAAGAAGAATATTTAAATAAAAACTCAACTTCCATCCTCAAATATCTAGATAAGAAAATAGGCTTGATGAACTTCCCACAAAGTCTTCTCCCAATGTCAAATATTTCCAGAGTCATTTGGAATTCAAGAATCAGAACTGCCTATCATTGTGATGTCAAGAGCAGAGAGTGCCTTGTTTCAGCCCCCTTCAGAGGCTTGGTGGGACGTGATGTTACCCATCATTGGTACTGCTAGTTACCGCCTAGAAATGAGAAAAAGGATGCTTTTCTTGAATTCTCTTTCATTCATTCAGCTTCTATTAAATGTCAAGTTCCCTATTAGGTACTTGGACTTCATAAAGATAAAACAGACACGGCCTCTGCTCTCAAGGAGTTCACTGTCCAGGAGAGGAGAACAACATGGAAACAAATAACTGTTTGGTGTGATTAGTAATAACATGAGAGTGTGTACGAGGTACAGCAGTGGCACAAGGAGGTAGTCATCAATTCTATTAAAGAAGGTGCCACAGGAAAGGAAGAGCTTGCGAGCAGTTGAAGATGGGGGAGAGGAGGGTATTCCAGGTAAATGTACCCTGGTAAGAAAGCACCTTATCAAATTCAAAGAGCTTGGAAAGTGGTTCAGTATAGTTGGATGGAGAATATCTGTAGGGGACAAGGGGGAGAAGAGGCTGCAGGGGCAAGGACCACACCAGGGCACCCACTTTCCATCACTTTGCATATAGTGTCCTATCTTTAGTTTTTTCTTAAAAAAAAAAAAAAATGCTTCCCATTCCAGGCATTCAACAAACATCTACATATATAGCACTAAATGAGGGAGCCTGGGGTATATTCCCCTAAGAAGCTTACATTGAACCTAATTTGGTGGATTAAACATACATACCACACAGCTAAAGAAAAAAAACATAACAACAAGTGCATCAAACTATAAACAGCACAGACTGCACAGGTCCTTAGCTCGAGACAGAGCTTAAACACTAATTAGAGAACTGTTCAAATGTTGGGCTCCTTTGACAAAACTCTGGCCAGATGAGCCCCCATGGGATGTGGGAAGCTCAATCAGGCACATTAGTCTGGCTGAGCCCAAGAGGCCACTAACCACATGAGGCCCAGAAGGCTTTTATGGCAATACAAGAGAGGGTCAGTCCCAAACGGGATCTATTCTTTTGCTGTTGAAATAAGTAGGGTGATTTGGGCACAGCAGCTGCCCAAAGTCTTCATCTTTATCATGATTATAACCATAGAAAAGAACATTTCATGGTATACTATCACATTTTACAGCTTTTCTCAAAAAAAAAAAAAGCATAAATATTTCACCAGGTCCTTTATGCATCTCCAGACTAAAAGTTTCATGCTAAGGTAAGGAAGCATTCAGTTTATTCTTTACCTGAAAATACTTTCAGGCCTCTGGGGAACCCAGCACATAATCTAGGGTATGAGACAGCCCTGACCTTTTAAAAGTCCAGTGTTCCAAAAATGAAGCCTGCTGGTCACAGAAGGGCTAGATTTGAGTCCTTCCTTACTCCTATGACCATGATAGCTTTGGTCGTGGCTGGGAGGCCACACCGCCGTCCTTCATTACCCTGCCAAGCCTAGGAGAGCTGCCACACAGTGGAGGCGCAAGCGATGGCACTCACCCTCATGGAGGTCTCGCCACCATGGGCCTGTTGCAGCCTGAAGACCTGGGCCACCATGTGTTCTGTGGAGGGGTGCAGCAGGATCCTTCGTGAGGCCAAGCCCACCATTACGTATCGGCCCATTGGGGACAGGCTCACTGAAATGGCATTGGGACCTGAGGGCCAAGAGAACAGAGAGACGTTTCCCAGAATTTTTGCCATTCCAAGGATACAACTTTCATTCTTAGACTTTTCTCTTTTCCTCAAATCTTCATATTCATTTGTTTATCCTGGGATTATCTCATAGGATCGTAGTGAAGAGCATAATGCAAAGGTATATATATATAATGAGTACAGTGTTCGACATATAAAAAGCACTTAATAAATGCTAATCATTGTTATCATATAACCCATTTAAAAAAATTGGTATCCTGCTGTAAATACTTTGAAATCTACTTTTTTCACTTAATACATTATGAACCGTTTTCCATCATTAAATACTCTACAAGAGCAGATAAAGGCCAATTGTATACTAACATTGCACCATCGTTTATTTAAGAAACTCTTTAAAAAACTCTTATATTAAAGTAATAATTTAACATTTTTCTATATGATAAATAACACAGCTGTGAACATACTCATATGGTAATCTTTGTATAGTTTTCTGATTATTTTCTTAGACATGGGATGGCTGTATCAAAGAACACACACATTTCTGGGGTTTTTAAATACACAGTGGCAGCTGGGTGCGGTGGCTCACGCCTGTAATCCTAGCTCTCTGGGAGGCCGAGGCGGGTGGATTGTTTGAGCTCAGGAGTTCGAAACCAGCCTGAGCAAGAGCGAGACCCCGTCTCTACTAAAATCAGAAAGAAATTAATTGGACAACTAAAAATATATAGAAAAAATTAGCCGGGCATGGTGGTGCATGCCTGTAGTCCCAGCTACTCGGGAGGCTGAGGCAAGAGGATCGCTTGAGCACAGGAGTTTGAGGTTGCTGTGAGCTATGATGACGCCATGGCACTCTAGCCCGGACAACACAGTGAGACTCTGTCTCAAAAAAAAAAAAAAAAAAATTTAAAAAATTTAAATACACAGTGGCGTATGTGTGTGTATGTGTGTGTCCAATTCCCCAAGCCATGACCAAAAAGCTCCTCTCTTATTCCCGGTCATCATAACAGATGCATGCTGGTGAGATGCTATCGTGGCAGGGAAGACTCTATTTCTGAGATTCTTTTGCAATGCTACTAGCCAGGACTCCACAAAGCAATCTTTCTCTGGCCTATGCCCCAGTGAAGGCAGGGACAGTATGTGACCATTACTCCCACCCAAGCTGTGCCTCACACACAGCTTGGCATGGGAATGCCCATGCCAAGGCACGAGTGTACCTCTGTCATTAGGTTGGGCTTCCTATCCCTTACCAAATCGCTTGGTGTAGAGCATTTCACCCAGGTTATGGGGGGCTAGGGAGTACACCGCTAGGATGCCTTCATCAGGAAAGCCCCTCTGGCTGCTAGGGATGAAAGCTGCCAGGAGCTGGCCATCTGCAGAGATGTCACAGCTGGCATCATTGTAGATCTTGCAGTTCTGCACCAGCACATTCACGGAGGCTGTATCAGACAAAGAAGGAAAAGAGAATAAGCAAGTTTGGAGTTAAAGTTGTGAAAATTCTGGGCCAAAAATTTTTAGGGCCTTCCTAAGGGCCTGAACCTTCTCTAGAAATGCTAAAGGATGCCCTGTCATTCAAACTAAAATGTCAAAATGAACAAGAAACACAAGAGGCAGGAAAAATATGTCTCTTCTACCACTTTAATAGGAAACTATGGAACAGTCAACACCACCACAACCACCTGCTGAGTCTTAGTTCACATTTAGGAAACACTATTTGAGAGATTAGATAAGGAAAAAGTTATTAAAAATTGTTCCTGGAGAGCCACTCAACAGCTGTTATTGTCCAAAGATCAAAACTAAGATAAATGAGAATGCAAACTCAGTGATTCCAAGAAAAAGGTGATATAGGTAGAGCTTTCTTAGGGTGGGATTCTTACTCAACACCTGATATATTACCTTGGAGAAGAAAGTCATTTCACAAATTTATGTTTAACTTTCTCATTTAAAAGAAAGAGAACTAGAACATTTAGAGACTTTTAGTCTTCCGGACAGCTCCCTACTAACACTAATCTCTAACTCCACCGAGAGAGGATAAAGAGAAATGGTCCAGCACTGGCTGGATGACTAGGGCTCTGTTCATTTCTCACTATGCTCTATGGTTATCCACACTGTCAACCAATGTCTATGGGCAGCCCTGGTCTGCACTTAGCAGGTGCTGAGGATAAAGCACAGGGTAGGCCAGGCAGCATGGCTCAGCCTGCTGAGGTAGCAAGACAGGGGGTGGAGGAATGTCTGCCGGTGAAGACAATCCACTCCACAGGGCAGGACCAATGAGATGTTAGCCCACACTGGCTCTGGGCCTACAAGCTTTGTTTCTGTTTTCATTTGAATCCTTCTCCAAGTCCCATTGTGTGATTCTCTGCCAAGAGGAAGTGGCTTACCCTTGATGTGAGCCTGGAACAGCCCACATCATGGCCACAGGCAGAATGCACAACACATTCAAACAGACGAAGCTCCTCTGGGCTTTGTCTCATTTAGATCTACTACATGTAAAAGACTTTTTATTCTTTCTCTCATTTGAAGGAGATATCCACCATCCGAGGCATCATGGTAAATTTAAGAAAGCCAAGCTCAGCTGCCCTCACCAGATTCCAGGTGAGCTACTCCAGTAAGACACAGACACACACACACACACACACAAAGACAAGGGCAAGTTTCCCAAAGAAATTACCTCAAGGAAAATAAAAGAAAAAATTGCTTTTTCAGGGGCTTAGAAGCATGTGGGATCAGGCACTCAGAGTGATTTATAAAACTCTTTATTTTATTTGTTCCCCATTTCCTTGTGCATCAATGAAGCTACAGAGATGACAGTGTAGATAAAAAAAGGCATCAGAACACATTGATTAGGCTATTGTGCCAACTCTCGGGGGCTGTCACCTACAGCACTATTACACATAAAACTGAGGAGGGACCACAAGGATGGTTCTGTTTGCTAACTAATAAAATAATGACATCCAAATACTCATTGCTATCACCATTAGGCCTCTGTACTGCTCAGCTCCCAACCTGCCATCTGCTCTAGCCTGCATGGCTGGATTATCTAGTTAGTGCTGGGACTGTCTGCTACTTACTCACGGTCTCAAGCCCTTTGCCAAAAAAATGACAATTTCCCTCTCCTTCTCTTGATTGACACGATTCCACTTGGGGATAGAGATATTGGGGGAAGCTTCAGAAGTGAATCCATCTTGGTTCTCTAGCTTTGAGGTTGGCACAATGCTCAGAAAGATAAAAAGAAATTAACAATTTGGACTCTAACAACCAAAGGCAGGGAGAGAAAGTTAAAAAAATCATAAATATTAAGTAGGACATGAAAATAAATAAAGAAGGAGATGGGACTCTATGGATTTTAAGACAGCTTTGCGCAGGTACCATTTTATCCACGTTTAATGTTTCAAAAGTGCACCATATTTTATCAAAGTAGGCTTTTCTATCTTGCTGTTAACATAGCTATAACTCATGTACGTTAACGTGTATTTTGGCCAAACATACTGAAGGCTATAATGACCCTAAAAACTCCTTACCAACACAAAAAAAGCATTTAGCTGTTTACTGGGACAGGGCTGGGGAGCAGAGTACAAGGAAGGTTGTTCTTCTGGAAAGTATGGCTCTGAACCCCTGAAAAACTGGGCATATAAGCAAAAAACATTTTGTCAGCCTCAAATCCAGGCTATAATGTTCGTGTTTGTATTATATGATGATGATTCTAAGTCAATGGCCATCTCCCAAATTTTGCCACCTCCCCTAACTCCACCTAATTTCACAACTGCTCCTGGCTACGCAATGAGCTCAGAGAAATATGCAAATAATAAATGAAAAGAGAGTAATAAAAATTATAACAGCTTCTCCAGCAGCATATTCAGCTTCAGAAATTTTGCAGCTAGTGATCTAGGGTTTCACTTCTACTGTAATGAAAGGGATGTGGTAAGCATAGAGTGATTTGGTATCTCCATTTCAGTGAGCATTGGGTGGTATGTTTACAACATTCTTTTTATTTCAAAGCTCCAATTAGCAACTTACATTTGCTGCTTTTTGTCTATTAATTTCCCACGTGGAAATGGAAACGTTCAGTTATGATGGTGATGGTGAGTGTCACTGCTTCAATTCACTTGTGCAGCTTCCTCGCATAAGGCTGAAATTTTGATGAGTTAATTAACATGGAAGAGATTTCTTGGATCTCTATTACTTGTTTTTTTGGCCATAGGAAAGTAATGTACTAGTGACAAAGGACAAATCATCCTTTTTGGATTCGACAATATAAGCAAGTAGAGAGAAAAGGGGGAAGTGAAATACAGTCTAAGATATTAGCTGCTTCCACACCACTAGAAATCTTTGTTGTGCTGCATTCCTTGCCTTACCACAGAAGTTCACAAACTTTAGCATGCATAAGAATCACCTGAAGGGCTTATTAAAGCATAGAACACTGGGGCAGGGCCTGAGAATTTGCATTTCTAACAAATTCCCAGGTGTCTCTGATGCTGCTGGTCTGGGATCAGGCTTCAGAACTGCTGCCTTATCAAACAGTCCTTGATCCCTGAGCTGTAGCTCCAGCAACTGGCTTTCACTTAAATGCAAAACACATATTGGAAAGGATAATGGGGCAGTTAGCTGGACCGCTTAGAATGGAAATAAAGACTAGGAAAGAAAAGGATTTTCAAATCAAAACTGCTGAAGAACTTCAGGGGGCAGCTCCAGGGGGAGAAAAAACAATGCGGGAGCCAGCAGGAAACCATGTTCCAGAGTCTGCAATATAATCTCCTCCCAATTAGAAATGATTTCCAAGTGAAAATGCCCTAGCAGGGAATGGGAGGGGTTAGAAAAATACTGATGCCTGGAGGAGCAGATGGCTCTGCCTTCCTATCAGCGCCATAAATTATAAACAAACACCTTGTACAAAGATTGATTTGTAGCCTGTTGCTGGCTGGCCAGATGAGGCCATGGGAGCGATTAGCAGTAGTAGTGCTTTTGCAAATACATTAGATACTGATTTGGAAAACCCAAGGGGGTTTAAATCAGCTGGAAAATTTCCTCTTGGCTATCTCTGGGCCCTTCAGATTTCAGAATAAGACCTGCACAGAGCTCCAGATGACACTGTAAGCACTCCCTGGAAGGCACCAGTCACTATATCCCCTGTGGTGCAGTCTGTCCCAAATCACTCATCTGCTGGGCTTCTTAAGGCCTATTGTGGCATGACACCCTACTGACTAATGCCATTCACCCGACAAGACTACCCGAAGGATGGACATATTTGAAACACAGCCTTGGGCGTGGGGGAACCAAGGGCAACACACATAACCTAAACATCTGTACCTCATAATATGCTGAAATAAAAAAAAAAAAAAAGAGTTTACTCTTAAAAATCACCGTGAATCTAATGTGCTAATTTTTTCATGAAAGTGGATCAAAACTATCTGTGTATATGAAGGCTTATTCACAAACTTCTAAACTCTTTAAAGATAGTAATTCATTAATCCTGCATCCCAAGTGAGAGAAACATATGGCAAGAATGTTTAGCCTAATTCCAGAAAAGGATTAAATGCAATTCAACTAAGTCAGAGGACCAAGAACTTGGCGGCTACTGAGTCCATAAGTAAAACTCAGGACCAGTGGCTCCCAGGCACCAGCTGTTGCAAAGCCAAACACTACCCTTCACTGGGAAGTAGGTAACTTTCAGATATAAATCTTACAGCAAAACAGATTCCCAACATACTCTACTGATAACTGAATCTATCAAAAGTGAAGTTCAAAAGTAACTTTTTCGACTTCATTCAGACCAACAAGGAAACACAGTTAAGAGCTAATAAAAGGGGGCGGGCGCGGTGGCTCACGCCTGTAATCCTAGCACTCTGGGAGGCCGAGGCGGGCGGATTGTTTGAGCTCAGGAGTTCGAGACCAGCCTGA